CCAGCAAACGTGTTGCTAGAGTGGCTGGCGAGTGACTGACTATCGGTGCTGAAGGCACAGTAGAGAACCGCAAGTGTGATGTCACTGAAGGTGGCACACACAATCAATGAACAGCTGAGGATGTCGGTCAATACCGGACATCTCCGGGGGGCGGCGAAGGACTGACGTCCTCGTCAGTCAATGCAGGAAGAAGATTACGTTAATTCTTACTTCAAGTTATGAATATTGAATTCGTACATCATTAATTCAAGAGTAACTATATTCGTTGAGTAACTGAGTAAATACAACAAAAACAGGAACTGATAAAAGATAGGTACCAACGGGCACAACGCAAAACTCGATAAGCAAAACTCGTAAATCTATTGGGTATCCTAAGAATTATCCTACGGGAAATATATAAGTTTTCTTTCTTGCATTTCTTTTCAGCAATCGGTCTTCATGATGCTCGCCAACAGAAAAAAGGCATTAGAATTTTCTTCCGATTAGATTACAACATACACAATTTAAATCATTAACAAAACCCAACTGTTAAGTGGATCTTGTGAGTTTTTCGAACTGTTCAATTATTTACGTTAATTTGGCTCTTACAATGGCCATCGTTAAAATTATTGAAAGTTGACATTAATAGTGAATTAATAGTGGCTTCCATTAATAGTGAATTTGTCACTTCTCTAAGTTCCTGTACATCTCTGTCAACGGCAAGGCCAAAGAGACCGTGGAGAATTTCTCCACCTATATCAAAGAGGCCCCCACGGGTACGGCTTACAGAAGATGAGACATTTAACAATCGGTACCAGTGATTTACTAAGTCGACGGAAGCTTCGCTGACATTAGCTAAGATCAAGTACGAGTATTCCCCTTTTTGCACTGTAGCATGGCACTGTAAATATGAAGCATGGCACTGTAAATATGAAGCATGGCACCGTATATATGAAGCATGGCACTGTAAATATGAAGCAAGGCACTGCAAATATGAAGCATGGCGCTGTAAATATGAAGCAAGGCACTGTAAATATGAAGCATGGCGCTGTAAATATGAAGCAAGGCACTGTAAATATGAAGCATGGCACTGTAAATATGAAGCAAGGCACTGTAAATATGAAGCATGGCGCTGTAAATATGAAGCATGGCTCTGTAAATATGAAGCAAGGCACTGTAAATATGAAGCAAGGCACTGTAAATATTAAGCAAGGCACTGTAAATATGAAGCAAGGCCAGGATCCACACTAGCCTTAAGCTCACAAGTTAACATCGCCATCGAGGCGGAAGATGTACCCAATTGAACAATACCTCACTAACGATAAGGCGGATACTCTTCAATTGGGTAGTCCGCCAGGAATATGTCCCTACCAAAAGTTTCTAAGAACCTATATCTGTTGAAGCACACATAATTTTTTCGTTTGTGTGGTGGTTGCCTTAGGAGGAAGTCGAGTATATTGTTTGTATTTATCATCTTATTAATGTCAGCCTCTCTTTTAAACCTAGCCCTTTCCGGTAAGGTAAAGCTCTGAAGTCCTGGTTTAACTGGGCTTCCGATATTCCAGGTTGTAGATCTCTCATGCGCTTCGAGTACACCGCCACTGGTGTCATTGGGAGAATCGTAAAATCTTCATGGAATTCAGGTCTTGCCATCGGTGACGGTACAACATTGTCACCGTACAATTCTAAGTACGCGTTCATCTGAAATACAAAATGGATTTGTAAAAATTACAGATGTAGATGAAATTACAATTACGATATATATTATATAGCACACTTCTACTTATCCTATCGATTTGAAATATTGCACACTGCATAAACACAAAATAAATGTAAAATAAATTTTTTCTAATATTAAAATATTTAATAAATAATTTAATTTAATTAAATAATTTAATAAATAAATAACCTACAAATGTTATTATTTAAAAATATTTTTCCACTCACTATTCCGTCATCGGCGTTTTCTTCTGCCATATTTACGTTTGCTTCTGCCATTCTGCAAGTACCTAGTGGCTTGCAGACTCCAAACCTGCACAGCCAAGGCAGATGAGTAGGGCGAACTAACTTGTCGATCAATGGTGATTCATTATTAGGTGACTCAAATCACCAATTAGGGCATTTAGGTGATTTAAAATAGGAAGTCGGTATAGGAAAGATCGAAAAAATCACGGCAACCGAACCGATTCCGATTTTAGTCGTATTTTTTTCACACTCATTGTTTTACACTCATTTTACACTCATACATTGCTTTACTATTACACTCATTGTTTCGTTATGTATTACGTTCAATTGAAACGAAAATCAAAATCAATATCAAGACATCAAGCGCAAGAAATGTAAACATAACCAATGTTGAGGAGAGTTTACTCTTGCAAAAGTAATAAACGCAGATATATCTTCTGTTTATAAGGGAACGAATCATGAACACTGTGCGAAATAAAAAAATTTCGTGTGGGCGAAATTACATTATGAACACCGAGCATAACGGAATAATTTCATCTGGGCAAAAACCAAATGCATCAGTGAAAATAGTACATACATCAAAAGTGTCGATTCCTACTAAGGAACTTTAAAATGATATTGAAAATAAGTAATTATAAACAAATAATGATGTAGCTACTATATCTCAATATCAAGTAGTGCAGATAAAAAAGCTATTTTATATAAAATCAACAATTAACCCATCCCGCAAAAAAATCATGTTCAAAAAGCGCTTTAATATAGGAATCTGGATGGAGGTAATAGATGACTCTCACCGCTTTTGTTGAGAAAAGGCTGACGTCCCAACGCTACGTGCAGGCGGTTCTGACTTGAGCAGACGCTATGCGGAAGGGGTCAGTTGAGACGCGCACAGAAGAGCGATGTCGATGGAACTTTTGCCTGACTGCAATGAAGTGGCTCGCAGACTCCAAACCTGCACAGCCAAGGCAGATGAGTACAGCGAACTAACTTGTCGATCAATGGAGATTCATCATTAGGCTACTCAAATCATAAATTAGGGCATTTAGCTTATTTATACATTTTTTTTCATTCAAATCATTAAATAAATAAAGAGTGCAGATTTTTAGTAGGGATTTCTAAAAAAATTTTGAAAATTATAACGATATGTATTAACACTTCCTGTCAACCCTAACGCCACTGAGCTCTTGAGGGAAAGTCGGACTGAGATAAAATCAAATCGGACAGCCTACGAAATACTTTCGTGTGGGCAAAAACCAAATGTATCAGTGAAAATAGTACATGTACATCAACAGTGCCGATTCCTACTAAGGAACTTTAAAATGATATTGAAAATAAGTCATTATAAACAAATAATGATGTAGCTACTATATCTCAATATCAAGTTGTGCAGATGAAAAAGCTATTTTATATAAAATCAACAATTAACCCATCCCGCAAAAAATCATGTTTAAAAAGCGCTTTAATATAGGAAACTGTCTGTTAACTCAGCCACATTTTCTTATACATATCGAACTGCCGTGTATTGTGGCAAATATGCAAAAACTCCAACGCCATACTACGTTCAGGGAATTTTACCAATCGTGATGAGATTGGTTGAAAAAATGGAAAGTTATTCCAGCTTGAAAGGAATAAACGTCAACATGGACCGACTATATACAAATATAGAACTCTGTGCATGGTTTCTAAAGAAAAATATCACAGTTCTTGGTCACTGTTACGGGTCAACTAGTTACGGGTCATTGAGAGGAGACTTCCCTGATAACTTTAGTGAAATGACAATTCTGTTGACCTATCTGCACTCCGAACTCTATGAAATTGGCAATGACTAAATGATTTTCAGTCTAAGAACTGGCTGTCAGACGGTTAGATTCCATCATCTCGATGCGACGAATGAAGATGCACCTAATTTATTGGTCTTAGAAAGTAAGCCATAATTTTTCGTTAAAGACGAACACATTCTTACATATTGTAACAAATAATTTTCAACCTTAATGCAATATAAAAAAAATCTTCTACGATGTTATCAAATCACACAAGTAAAATTACTTACATAGGAATGGTTAAAAAACGGAACCTTAACTATGACACAACTTGCAGCAAACTATCTTCGCGATATCAGATCTGTAATGAGACTTCGACGAAATAAGACCTAGCTTTTATACGTTGCTTACGAACCCCGCTTGCTCGCGGGCGCTAACCAATAGGCGTTGAGCATGAATTTCTGACGCAATGTTGCTGGAACATTGAGAGTACAGTGCACATGTAAAGTTTCGACTCCAGTCTCTTTCCTCAAGGAATCTTTGGACTTCAGAAAACGCTCGTTACTCTCGTTTATCGACGATAATTTTACAGTATTTAGTAAGATTATAGAAAGATTAAATTTCAGATACTAATGAAAGTTCATCCGTATGAAGTTAGGAGAAGAATCTTCATTACGTGAAGTGTTGTATTGGGTAACGTGTTCTACGGAACAAGATAGTTCGCCGTTGCGCGACTGTACAAATCCTATTGCCGCACGAGAGTCACTGCTGTTGCTCATGATGAAAGCTAATCTTCCAACGGTGCGATCTGAAGCGGTTGAGAAAAAAGGGGGTTGCAAAGCGAAAATGTGGCTTCACAACGACAACCTAGTCGGCATTGTGAACGAATTTGAGATCAGAAATCGATTTGTCATGTGTATGGGATGTATAATAGCTCGACTAAGCTGTTACATAGAAAAAAGGTGAAGAATCTACATACATACAGAAAGCTCGAAGTTGATACTGACTAAAGAACTTATATCGGGTGACAAGCAAGCGCGCTAGCTGTTCCTAAGACGGTCACGAGGCCTACAGAGAAGGACGTAGTCTGAACTGACACTTGAAACCTTGAACGAAAAACCAACGACTACGCTTCCAAACTGGGTAACCTTCCAACGTTTGAGACAAAGTTTAGAATGAAATTATTCGACGGACATTGCAAGAGGTGTTAACGAAACTTTATTTCATCTAACAAACTCTGGCTGGAGGCTAACATTCTCCTAAATGAACTACTCGTTTACCAATATAGAAGCTCAATATTCAAGAACGATGCTACAGCATCAACTAGAAAACAGCAGTTCTGTTAACGCTCATTTCCAGAAAGATGCGTGTTGAAATCTGGTATTATTTCGTACCAGTTATCACTGATCTCCGACATTGTCAGGGCAGTCAAGGCTGGGTGCACGATCAGATGAGGGGAGTACGCCATTAACTACTTACAAACTTGAGATTAGTTAGTGCGTAAATTTATCACAAGATTTTATTTAAACGCATTTTGAATCAATCTACATTAATGCCTGGTACAATAATGGCGGTCTATTTAGAATGGAAGGAACCTAAAATATACTTAACAAAAGGAAGGGCAGAAATCTTTTGCAGCCGAAGTTGTAGCGGACTCGAAAACCCGTAGCGATTAGGGTTGAAACATATGGGAGATGCAAAATTCAGAGCAAACGACTTGCTAAGTTGAACGAAAAACTAGCAATTAACTAGGAAAATTTATAAAATACTGTTAAGTAGAGAGAAATCGTCACGTACAGATGAATTCGGGAAGAAATCTTAATGACTTAATATCGCAGAAACTAAGCTTCAGATGAACTTTTTACATCAGGGCTAGAGAGCGAACCAATCAAGAAATTTGACGGCGCCGCCCAACCAATCAGCGGCAAGCATTTGTTTATCACGCCATCGAGCTAAAGAAGACGACAGACGTCGGATGCAGCGTTGGCAACTGGTTCATTTCCATACCAGATTCCATTTAATCTGGTATATTTCCATACAAGATTTCACAAATCTGGTATTTTCAGTGGGCGTCTGGTACGAATATTTCAGATCTGATATATTTGGCTAAATATAGTACTTTATGACTTACTGCAAATTTACTTCGTTAAAATCCACTTCTAGAAGTTTAACTTCCTTCCTCGTAGGCGTGGATTATATGGATTATCTTCAGAAAAGCACGTCTATATCTTTGAGCTATTTTTGGAACCGCGAGATTACCGCTGGATGAAGTAACTCCAATCTAATTGTTTCCAATCGTCAACATTTAATAACAAAAGTGCTAAGCTCGAAGTTGATCCTGACTAAAGAACTTATATCGGGTAACAAGCAAGCGCGCTGGCTGTTCCTAAGGCTGTCACGAGGCCTACGGAGAAGGATGTAGTCTGAACTGACACTTGACACTTTGAACGAAAAACCAACGACTACGCTTCCAACTGGGTAACCTTCCAACGTTTGAGACCAAGTTTAGAATGAAATTATTCGACGGACATTGAAAGAGGTGAAAACGAGACTTTTATTCATCTAAGAAACTCTGGAAATTCCGATTGTGGAGACAAATAGCGGGATGCATCACTTTCCTATTTAATGAAGAGAAGGTATGATTTAACGCTCATACAAATAAATATTTCCCATATGAAATTCATAAATTACTTACGGGTCGCTGATGAGAGGAGGCTTCCCTGATAACTTTAATGAAATTATAATTCCCTTGATCTATCTGCACTCCGAACTCTATGAAATTGGCAATGACTAAATGATTTACAGTCTTAAGAACTGGCTGTCTGCCGATTAGATTTCATCATCTCTTTGATGATTACATCATTAGAAGTTGCAGACCTTTCAAAATCAAGAAGAAACCTTGACCCCTTTATGTCAGTATTTTGTAATAATTTCGAGTACTGGTTCGAATATTAGTGACCAGAGTCAAAAGAAAGGCGTTTACAAACTATCTCAAGGGTCTGAAATGTTGTTACAAGTTGAGTCTACTTCAAATTAGTGGATATAAACCAATGATGTTCTATATCTGTGATACGCTGCACCAATGATACGCTGCGCCAATGATACGCTGCGCCAATGATACGCTGCGCCAATGATACGCTGCACCAATAATACTCTTATAGAAAGCTGCCATTCGTTTAACGCTAATTCTAAAAAAATATTTCAGCTGCCTGTCACAATTTCAAATAGAATTATCCAACTATCCAGCCGCCAACTATCAATCAGAGTTCCAAGTGAGGATTAGTCTAGTAAACACATGGCAATCCAAACCAAATAGCTGCCTGCCGGCGAGATTGCGTCATCCTAATATACTTTACACAAAATTACAGATTCTTCCCATTTTCTGCTGACAATAAATATACAGATAGCCTAGATACCGATAGTTAGAGAACATTTCTTACTGCGATATGAACGACTTTCTTAGCTATAGTATTGCATATATCCATGTTGAGCATAGAGGTAAGAAAATAACGACACTCACTGCTGTTTTTGATGCAGAAGGCTTGTCTAGCAACGCTGCGTTCTGAAACGGTTGCGAATGAAGGTGTTGTAAAGCAGGAGTGCCTTCACGACGTCAAATGCAAGTCAATAGGCCTAACTCAGATGTCTAAACATTTTAAACAATAATTCCGAGTCCAAACATTTTTTCGACTTCCTGCACTTTCTATCAACTACACCTTCTACAGTTTGAATGAAGTTTATCTAGTTTAATATACACTTCACTTAATTTACACTCGCTTAAGAGAATAACATTAACATCAACCTGCTCTGACAGTGTCCGATGTTGCAATGAGAATGTGAGGTACGAAGTACGAACTACGAAGCCACCGGCTTCCCTGCGTTACACCCGGGCTAGAGCGCGAACCAATAAAAAAATTCGACGGCGGCGCCGAATACGGACCAATAGCCGGCACCCATCTATTTATAACCGACCAATCAGAAAAAATCGAGCGCGCCACATGTTCGACAACCAATAGACAGCGTGCATTTATTCATCACGCGATCGAGCTAAAAAAGAAGCGTATAGTGAATATGGAAGGCCAAAGGAAAGAACTAACCACTCTGAACTAACTGAACCAGCGTCGGAAACTAGTATTATGTCATACGAGATGTCACAAATCTGGTATTATTTCGTACCACTTTTCGCTGATCTCCGACATTGTGTCAGGGCAGTCAAGGGCTGGGTGCACGATCAGATCAGGGGAGTACGCCTATCTTTATTGATTGGTACATCACATGGATATGGTTTAACTCACTTTATAGGTGCGCGTTATGCATCAAGTTATTTCAATTACTATTGATACTTGGACATCACATGTATATGGTTTAAATTATTCTCTAGATGCGCGTTATGTTCGAAGATATTATATTAAATAGTTACCAAATTGAGATTAGTTCTGGCGTAAATTTACCACAAGGTTTTATTTAAACGCATTTTGAATCAATCTACATTAATGCCTGGTAAAATATTTGCTGTCTATTTAGAATGGAAGGAACCTAAAATATACTTAACTAAAGGAAGGACAGAAATAATTTGCAGCCGAAGTTGTAGCGTGAGTCGAAAACCCGTAGCAATTAGGGTTAAACAAGAGCGAGAGAAATCAAGAAATTTAACGTTGCCGCCAATTCTGCAACCTATCACCGGCGCGTATTTCTTTGTAACGCACCAATCACATTCGAACGCATTTCCGGTTAGCCAACCAATCAGCGGCAAGCATTTGTTTCTCACGCGATCGAGCTAAAAAAGAAGAAAATAAATTGCCGCCAAATTCGTGGCTCTAATGTGGACGGAAAGCTTGACTAAGATGAAAATACTTGAACATAAGTGATCCGTAGTGAACAATTACTTACCAACAGTAAGTAAATTATCCTAAGCGACTTCAAATAAAAATCATTTCACTAAAGAAAGCAAGAAAAACCCATGAGAACTTAGCATATGAATATAAATACCATTTGAATCATATCCAGAATTTGCGATAGAATTGACAAACTTCACTGAACTTCATCAACTTCTTTGCAGGTCAATAGTAAATAAATTTTTTGACTCTTGAACTAGAAAATTTCCTACAATGAAACGGCTCAAAGCAGTGAGACGCTTCGCTCTAACGATTAACATATTAACTCGACAGTAACGTGAGGTGCTATTAAACAAACGCTACCAAATGCAGCAACAATTGACAACTGCAACTCCGTAGTCACTACTCACCACAGCGTAACCACTGCCTAACCAGTGGCCAGCGCTTGACAGCCTTATAACAGAGAGACGTTCTATCATCAACTTCGTTTCTATTAGGATTAAGATTACTTACATTCGTGTAATAACGTTTTACGCGTAGTACCGGATCGTGAAGAAGAACCAAATAAAGCTTTGACAATCAAAATGAAAAAAAAAACTGGACTCTATTGACTTTAACAGCAATTTAACCCAGACTAAAATGAGATTGCGGCATTGCGCACGAGTCACGACGACCAACTCGACGAAACGCGTTACAAACGAGAAAATACGATCGAGTTTACGAGAGACCTTCTGATGCTCTTTCCTTCATACAATTCCCGATTACTGTCGAGGTATTGTGCTTTGAGGCATTGAAGATCACTGTTTTAAGAAATGAGCTGTTCATATAAAGGGATAACTCATCGGAGTTACATTTGTAACTCGTCCAGAAGTTTGTACTTTGTAGTGCTCTGAGAGTGCAGCGTCCATGCGCCCGTTAGTCGCCAGCTAGCACGATCACCTCGCAAGACATCAAACGTACTCTTAATAATTGAGTCGGTAACGCTGATCAATCGATGACTTCCTTCTACGGAAGAAATTTTGAGCCTTTTGAGCTCACTTCTCCGTATTCACGTATACTTTGGATACTTTATCCGTTTAACTTTCCATTGAGGTGGGAATTTGCTATGAGGCCTGAGTCTGCAGAGCATACACATCAAGCTGAAATTTCTATTATTATAAAATGCAAAACTTGCGTCGTACAATTGCTATATGGGAAAGAATCTTCTATGGTATTCTCAAATTACACAAGTGAGATTACTTACATAGGACTTGTTGAAACACGTAACATTCACTATCACACAACTTTTGCCGGTATTATTGCAGATTAACTACATCCAAAAAAAGGGTGTTTTTTTTAATTATATGTTTTTTGGGGTGTAGATTACGAATCTGAAATCCATTTTTGGCGGTCGGCATCGGAAAACCGATTTTTTAAAAAAAAAAAAACACCCTTTTTTTTGGATGTAGTTAATCTGCAATAATACCACTTTTGCCTAGCTACCTTCGCGATGTCAGATCTTGAACTGAGACTTCGACGAAATAATTAATAATACCTAGCTTTTATACGTTGTGTACCAGCCCCGCTCGCCGGCCGGAGTTGACCAATAGGCGTCGAGCATAAATGTCTGACGCAATCTTGCTGGAACATTGCCAGTAAAGTGCACACATGAAAAGTTTCGATTCGTCTCTTTACTCACGGAATCTTTGGACTTCAGAAAACGCTCGTTAATCGACGATAATTTAACCGTAGTTAGTAAGATTAGAGAAGAGAAAGATTAAATTTCAGATACTAATGAGTGTTTATAGTTTATCCAAATGAACTTAGGAGCATAATCTGCAGTACGTGAAGTGTTGTATCGGGTAACGTTTTCTACGGAACAAGATAGTTCTCCGCTGCGCAACTGTACAGATCATCTTGCCGCTATGCGTCCAAGCCGCTCCAATGAACGTCTAGCTATCAGCCGGCTCATTATCGGGTTCCTGGAGTACAAATAAAAAAAATTCAGCTGTAGTAAGACGAAATGAATATAACGACTCTAGATTAAAATTATTATTTTTTAAGAAACATTGGGTACCTAAGTAAGTTAGTTAGAAGTTGTACCTAACTCATACTTTGCTGCATGGAGACGGAGAATGCATATAAGTACCTTACCAAAAAATAGTCGGTAAATAGTCAGTAAAAACCTATTGATTCTTCAAGTTTAATTCACTAAATAGATAATTTAATAATACTTTCATGGCAATATAAATCGCTTATGATACTCATTCAAGGTCTAGATGATTTATCATTGATAATGGCTCCTTAAAATGTGAGAATGAACACAATGTAGTCAAAGCACCGATGGCCAAAGGTGAACGAGGTGTATTCTTTGTAATCTAATAATAAGTGGCGACAAATGTCAATTTCAAAACGGTAAAAGATCAATAAATCGAGACAAACGTTCGTGCGTCCACCTCAAGGGTCTCGGATGGTATATAGTCTGATTCTTCCATGACATTTCAAATGTACATTTCCTTACTCTTGCTTTTGCGCAGCCGATAGCCCTAACTGTGTATGGATGGCACGATACTACCGTTAAAATTTGCGCTACAAAGAAATAAGTGAATAGGCTACCGGAGTTTGCAGACCTTTCAAGATCAAGAAGAAACCTTGACACCTTTATGTCAGTATTTTGTAATAATTTCGTGTATTGGTTCGAATATCAGTGACCTGAATCAAAAGAAAGGTGTTCATAAACTGTCTCATGGGTCTGAAATGTTGTTACAAGTTGAGTCTATTTAGCATTAGTGGGATATAAACCGTTCAGATCGATGCACTAAATTTGGTTATGATAATAAATATCGTTCTGAGGTTAACGCTTCGATCCAGAGAGACAATGACTTAGTCGGCAGACCAGTAGAAGTTTCATGTAGGGCACATATAGTATACGCTTGCACTTGATTGCGCGACAGCGAACTTAAACTTTTTTCGCAGATCACAGGGTACGCGTTAGTACCCAATCTCGTTGAAATATTTTCCTCATAATGCTTGTCAAGTCCATCTTGAAATAATCGTTCATAATCGTGTAGTTTACCTTTCAAAAGTTCGATTTTTTGCGAAAAATCTTCTCTTTAAGTAAATAATAGAATGAAAACTCCATTTGTGCTCTGCTGACTTTATTGGTAACATTATTTCACAATTTGTGTTATTTTTCTCATAAAATCTTACTTAATTCACCTCGGAATCGCATTCATGCAAAGGCAGTGAAAAGACCAAATCGAAAATTTAACGTCTTTCTTGTTCAGTCAATGACGGTCGCACTAACAATATATTTCTCATATGAACAATCTTCAACTTCTAAAAATATCACTTAGCAAACCTGAATGCTAAGTTCTGGCAACCTTTCGCTTAAAATCGTCAAATCTGAACCGATGTAATTTGAAAACAAAGCGTATTTTTGATAACAAAACCCTTACTGCTTGCAACTGCAAGCAAAATGTATAGTACAGTGCGCAGTTCGCATTCATGACGCACTTAACTGGAATACTTGTGCCTATAAGAATAAGCATTTATATTCTGCGGACTAGTTAGCCTTATAGTACATTAAGTATTTTCTACTGCAATTGTTTTTTAAACTTTCTGGTTATCGAATAGCACTTGGAAGTTTTGTACAGCCGCCTTGTACCATACGGTACCTGCCGCGTATCATCATTACTCTACATTAATCGCACCTAGTTGCATTTGACCCTAATTATTGCGCTAATAAGTTAGGCATTAGGAATGCATGATGCCTAAATTTAACTGTGGCAAATCGCTTATATATTTGGCGTTTAGAATAGAACCCCATAGAATTAATACCCATGACGATATAACATAAAAACGACTTAATTTTATCCCATATGAGTTGACTTTACTAATATCTCACACAAAATACTGAAGGAAAAAGAGGGCCCTGAGCAGTAAGCTCGAGGCCCGTGAAACGGGAATTTAATTTTCAAGCTTTGAAATCGT